ATATCTAGGTAATACGCACAGTATGCACATATGCCAATGAGAGATTGATCAGTCCTAAACATCAATAGGAATATTCAAACAAACAATACTAAGTGAATTTAAACTTCACCCGATTGTACAAGCAATCGGCTATTAGGGTTCAGTAGCTGAGTGGATAACGCGATGACTTTTGAAGCAAAAGTTACTGGGTTCGAGTCCCAGAGTAAACATCAATTCTGCGATGTAGATACATCCGGCTGACGAGTCCCAAATAGGATGAAACGCGCTTCCTGGATTCTACTGCTAGCCACTATCCACCTTTGCTTGTCAATACAACTGTACAGCTTGAATAAACGATATTGTGAAAAATAAAATTTTCTTCATTGAGTTGTCTTTTACTTCTTAAAAAAACTTGTATTATTATTGGAAGAGTATGAATCTATGGATAAATCACGAACTGTTTATGAAAAGAACTGAGAAAAGAAAAGAAAACAATTATTCTTTGTTTTCATTACTCTTTGATGGATATGAAAAGATAAGTCACATCTTATAAATACAATGTAGGATGTTAATATTTGGGAGGGTTTGAATTATTATTAGTTGAATGAGTTAGTATACATCTGAATTAAGAAGCTCAATAGATAACGCGTTGTGCTTTCGAAACGAAAGATACTGGCTTTACGTTTCAGTGTGAATATCAACACTGGGGTACCGATTCGTATGAATGATAAATCCCAAACAATATGTAACACTGTTGGGATGATCCTGAAAATATCTGGTAATAGATATAACAAACTCAGGAAACATTATGAAGCATTTTATCCAATCAGCGTTCGATTAGAAGCTTTGCTAGAAACATTTCGAAAATGAAAAGTCAAATGTAGAGGTTCTGATTGGATGATTACTACACTGCTATTATGTTTAGTAGTATTCTAGAATTTTCAGGAAAACCCAAGGACTTCTAAAATATTATAAGAACCCTATATTTTCTGTACATAAATGAACATTTGGAGTAAATTTCTTCTCACATATTCTGTACCTTGTCTCTCGTGTTCAAGTTGCTGTGTAGTTCTAGCTTGGGGGTTACAAGACTAGTTTAGAATCCGAGTATAGCGTTCAATCAACAAGACTTATCAAACACACATCAAAGATATCATTCCCATTTACAATCCATCTGTTTTATGTACAATAAATGATGCTGAAAAATATGTCAGATCACATTTTATGAATGATAATCATAGATATCATTTTACATGGAAAACTAAGTACCTTAGTTATTGTCTACAAAACACAAAAAATTGTTGCCGGCTTTAGTAGGGTAGTAAGTATTGAATTTGTGGATCTTTCTTTTCATGTACAAAATGAAATAGAGTTGTTTATTTTATCAATCAGACTTGGCAATGTTATTGTATTTACAAAACAAATAACCACTTTTAAAAACACAGATTTTTTACGATGAACTAACAAACGCACAAGATTAAGATTACAATCAATGAAGAAACATGTATATTATTTGTTTTTTCATAGTTGAAATTATTAGTCAATTGAAGCTAGACAACCATGGAAAACCTGGAAGCACTGGACAGACCGTTCATCCTATTGTGTGACTTAGCAGTGCGCATCCACGATCCCGCCTCGCGAGATTCGAACCCAGGACCTACCAGTTTAAACTATGGTTTATCGGTTAAGTGTTCTGGTGCGAGACTGGTAGGTCCTGGGTTCGAACCTCGCAAGGTAAGAACGTGAGTGCCCGCTGCTGAGGAGTCCCGTAATAGGACGAAACAACCGTCCAGTGCTTCCACGTTTTCGATGGTGGTCTAGCTTCAATCGACTCATGATTTCAACTATGAAAATACTGAAATCTCCACAAAACCCCTTTTGATTATTAGTTTTGTTAAAGTCACAAACCTATTCAATCTAGAAAACCATTAATAACCAGGAAAAATTGGATAACAGTAGAAGACATCCACAATCTCAGGACTATGGATCAAACTCAGTACCATTTTTTCGCGTGTAAACTCTTAACCTTCAGACTACTGAGCCGATATTCAGTGGTAAAGATGACTAACTATGATCAACACACGATATTATATGACCATTTTATTAGTTTTTATTGTAATTACATATATTCTTTAGTTCAGAGGTAAATAGAACTTCCACATTCTAAGTTCTTAAAAACCTTCATTCTCGAATATTTCAAGACATAAGTATTATTTTGTTAATTGTCTTCTATAGTGTTATCTGTGCAATAAAGAATACTTTATATTTCTTTTTAACCAATGGTTAACATTCTTAAATGTTTTGAAATTACTGTCAACTATGTTATTACTTAATGTTTTTACTGATGATTAATTGGAATTCTTTAAAAAACTTCTCATCATATATGGGATTCATTTAAATGAATATTTTTATCAGAAAGGGGTTTTGTGGATATCGAAGTGTTTTAATAGTTGAGTTCATGAGTCAATTAAAGCTAGACCACCATGGAAAACCTAGAAGTACTGGACAACCTTTTCGTCCTAGTACGGGCCTCCTCAGCAGTGCGCATCCACAATCCTGTACGTGGCACTCTAATCCAGGACCTCTAATCTCTCATACGAAAGCATAACCTCTAGACCACTGAGCCAGCATCCAACAGTGTTTATGTGTAAAATCAATCAATCCACGATATTGAGCTACCGTCCTTTGTTGTCTTCAGTGAGTTACTATCTCACAACAGGCCCCGTTGAATTCCAACCGTCACTGTTTTTCATTAGAACTCTACGAAATCCATCTTGAATCTAGTCACTAGTGAGTACACGATGATTATTATCAGAAAGGAGTTTTGTGGACATCACAGTAAGTATTTGCTGTAGAATATAATAAATTCATTTTATTTCATAGATTCTCTTAAGTGATACTTAGTCTGTAAGTTGTATTCTTGACCTGACCCAATAAAATTTAGATTTCTACAAATTCAGAACAACAGATAACATATGCATTTCAATTATTTGGTTTTTTTTGGTTGGAGATATGATTTTATGCTACTGGCGAAGAGATATAAACTGATTCATTTAAGAATGAAACTGAAATAGACCTGGTTTAAATTTATTGTCCAGACTGGCCTCAGTTAGTCAGCTACAACGTAGTACCAGGCACATATATACATCGGTCCAAGTTGCTATACCTCATTAGTATAACAAGATCAACACCAAATTCATAGAAGTAGTTGATCTAATGGTGGTAATATATAAAAGAAAGATGGTATATAAGAATACAGTACAGGAAGAAAGGTAGATATGGAGCTATTTTGATCTTATAGTTTAAGGGAAGACAAAGAGTGTATACACCTACACCATTGTGATCGATTCTGAGTTGCATCACCCAAAGTCTTCAACCACTGATCACGATAGTCACGCGGACCCCAACCAAGCAGTCTGCATCTGCCAACATGGCTCAGACTAGAAGTTGGTGACTTAAAGGACTGATGTCATGTTTTGGTTTAGCCTCCCCTAACTCTCTTCCAACCATCCCATATACTAGTCAGCATTGCGCGTCGTGGTAATCGGTGTTCAGGCATAGGTAACACGTGACCTAATCATCTCAGTCGATGAAGATTCATGACCTCATCAACTGATTTACCACATTAATAAATAATTCGTCATACTTTCCACCTTTTCACGCAAATCTGTCGCCCGAAATTGCTAATAATTTTTGAAATGATATATTTGATTCTTATTGTTTTAAACCAATTATTTTTTCAATGATCACCTTGATAGTATGAATGAGTTCTTGTGATCACTACTTTAGATTTAAGTTTTAACATTGTTTATGGGCAAAGGTGAATTTCATTACAGAATGCTATACCTTTATATTTATATGTACCAGTTGTTTGAATTTTATCATTGATATTTAGGACTGTAATAATTCAATCCTTTTTGACATATGTGCATCCCTTGTGGATTGCATTGACATTACCATTGAATCAAAAGAATTATAATCAGAGTTAGATGTTGGGTAGTGATAGTGTCCAACGATACGTGTTTCTTCCTATTTGGGACTGGTTAGCTAAATGTACCTGTACTCCAAAATTATTCTTTACTCTGAGACCCGAACCCAATGCCGAAAGTCTCAAATACTATCGCGTTATCCACCTAGGTACAGAGTAAAGCTCTGGGTTCGGGTCTCGAAGTGAACATCAACTTTTGAATACAATTACATTCAGTTAAGGATTGTCAAATAGGAAGAAACGTAGATCTTGGATTTTACGATTAGCAACCATCCATCACTACATATGTATTTGAATGAAAAATGTGTAAACCTAGACATAGTGACCACATACTTCGATAACACTTAAACAAACCACTATTTTTTCTTACTATTTATTATCATATACTCAAAATTTACTGTTAAAAGTACACTAAAAACCACGATCATTTTACTATCAGCCTTCTACCCGACGTTTGTGCTGATGATGTCGTTCAGAAGGACGATGAAAGCTCTACGATCAAACCATCCAGTTCAGAGAACAAAACTCCATCAAAATCATCCACCTGAGCTACAAATCTTCTCCACCATCTCACTATCAGCCTTCATATGAATTCATTCAAGGTTTAAAAGATCAAATATCTATGTTTCATCTTATCATTATCATCATCATTAATATGTTTAGTATTTATCTACCCATTTTTTTCTCAACTCCCGTATTGCTCTACTTAACAAACCCATATGGATTGGTTGAAGTTACACATTAACACAGTTGAATGCCAGCCGCCTCAGTGGTCTAGAGGTTAAGTGCCCTGGCGCGAGACTGGTAGGTCCTGGGTTCGAATCTCGCCAGTGCGGGATCGTGGATGCGCATTGCTGAGGAGTCCCATAATAGGACGAAACAGCCGTCCAGTGCTTCCAGGTTTTTCCATGGTGGTCTAGCTTCAATTGACTCATGATTTCAACGATGAAAAATACTGAAATCTCCACAAAATCCCTTTTGATTCCCATATGGTTCATTATAATGTGTTTAATTTCCTTTTTTTCTTATTTAGTTTATTAATTTAGCAAGTAAATTCATTGGAATATTTAATCTTGTTTTATTACTTCTACTATTGGGACATTGGAATGCTTGTTTACAATTTCTTATACCAATGCTACATGATTATCCAGTAGAAAGTTGGGTTGCTAAAGGTAAATTACAAGTAAGTAGATATAGTCATTATCATTATCAGTTCATTAATTTTTTTCATTTTCTGTCAAAACATCATAAATAAACGAGGAAATAGAAGTAATGAATAGTCACCTTCATATGATTACGCAACCTAATACTAAAAGACCAATATTTGAACGAAGAATATTCGTTTCGATAAAGGATTTTAAGTCTTTCAAACAGCTGAGGCAGTAGTCATCAGGATGAAGAAACCGGAGCTATGCGTACAGAAGAATATATCTCCAACCCCTACTTCTCCCTTGGCCAACCACAAGGTCAATTAATAAATAGTAATCTTAACTATTGGATAATCTAATTTGACTATGCACTTACGACTTTTCGTAGTCAAATGTAATTGTCTCTCTTATCTTTATTCACAAATCTTTGTATTATTATTATTATTATTATTATTATTATTATTATTATTGGTTAAACATCATTATTAATCTCCCCTATACATGATTCATTCACTTCGCATTGATCCCTCCTTATTACGTCTTAAACACAATTTAGTCTTCCGCTTGATCGAATTGATTGTAATTGCATTATCATATCTCTCTCACCCATATTCATTCTGATCATGGATCCTAAATTTTCACTTAATATATATACAGATGAAATCATGAGTCAATTGAAGCTAGACCACCATCGAAAACCTGGAAGCACTGGACGGCCGTTTCGTCCTATTATGGGACTGCTGAGGAGTCCCAAACTGCATCACAAGGCAATCCCTAACTTGGAATCCGGAAGGGGAAGGGAAAAGAGGAATGCCAAAGGACACATTATTCCGGTAAATAGAAGCAGATATTAAAATGTTGAATGTTAACTAGAAAGAACTGGAAAAGATTTCCCAGGACAGGGTTGGATGGATAAAAATGGTGTGTTTCCTTTGCTCCTCCACGAGAAGTAACAGACGTTACTGCTGCTGAACTGCTACCAATGTACGGTTTAAGTAAATGATTTCGTCGAAAAGAAAATTTTCTACGCTGAATTCTTTTTAACTTAGTCAATGACACTGTGGGTTATTTTAATATTACATAGATGAGATTAATATAATGTTGCATAAATTTTGTATCGATATATGTAAATAAAGAAAACTCCTTTATTCAAAATAAACAAGTAGTATAGTACTATTTAACTAACAAAGTATGAAAATGTGAATGCCATGAAGTAACCACTTGTTTTCATTGTGTCAGTAAGTGAATGTGCAGATATCGCCTGAAATTAAATGGGAACGAATGAATCAAGCAATATCAACATGAAACTAATAATAAGTAAGGGGAAAAGAGAATTTTCAAATATTGACTTCTCATAGATTAAACCACAGAGTAATCTTCGTTACAAACCAGGAAAGACCTGACAGCTATTCCACCTTATTATAGGACTTCTCAGTAGTACACATAGATGACGCTGCCGGAAATCAAACACGGGACCTTTGGTCTCATGAGCAAATGCTTAACCTCTAGACCACTGAGTCGGAATCTGGTGGTGTACAGATCTAATTTTAGTCAATTCGCGATATTATGCAACCATCTTTATATTTATATATTTCTAAAGCTTTTGTTATATAATTAATTGTAAATTAGTTAGTGAGTTAATCAGTTACTTATAGACGAATGTTTAGTGGCTTAGGTTAACACATCAGATTAACTAACTGGCCAAATGCTAGACTTTATCAGTATATATGGCGCGATCTTGAAGCCGCTTACCCATTCCTGAATAATTCTGTGGTATTCCGTAAGTTACTCTCATTCACTTAGAGCCTTGGGATAAATCGTATTCACCCTTTCAAATTTTCTTCCATCATATACTACTTCTTGTTATTAAAATTTGAACTCATCAGAGTATATTAACATACATAATTATTTTTCTTTAATATTTATTTAACAGAATGCTTATTGGTTTGATCAATACACTTGGGCTTTATTTAAAGCTATGTCACATATGTTAACTATTGGTTATGGGAGATATCCACCGACTAGTTTAAGTGAAGCATGGGTTACAGTGATAAGTATGGTCACTGGAGCTACTGGATATGCTTTATTTGTCGGTCATGCGGCAGCATTAATACAATCATTTGATTGTTCAAAACGTCTTTACAGAGAGAAAGTAATTTCAATATTATTTTTACTATTTGATTTATTAGTATTGTATTTTGAATGAATGAATGGAATATACTACTTCATGTCAGTATGTTTAAAATGTTTTAACTACTAGTGTAGTTTAAAAGAGAGATAGTGATTAATTTTGTAATGAGCAAGAACACGGGTGAGGACAACCAACCATATTTGGCACAAGATTACAGAGTTACTTGATAAAATATGTTATATCTAGAACTTAGATTCTTGATATACCGTGTACATCTTGAGCACTCGAACGCTAGAACCTTCCATGTTGCAAATGAGAAGACAGGAGACATGTGCAAGGAATGCTATTTCAATTATTGTCAAATATGGTACAAAATTCTCAGATGTTTCAAGTTTTTAGTAAAAACGAAATCACCATTATAGTCCTCCAACCCTCATACAGGGGTTTTAGCATTCCTTCAATAGAAAGGCTACACGTAGAGATTCTGGAACATTTTCCCGAAAGATGATTGGATGGAATATCACCGGTCCTTTCTGAGCTTCTTAGAGCTTCCTCGAGCTCACCCGTCGGCTGTCCCCACAAAATAAAGAAAACCATACTCCGATACTGCATTTGCAAAATGTTCATTAATTGTCTCAGATTTCATTGTTCCTGTAATTCCATACCAATTGCTTTCCGTTCCTGTTCTTTTTTCCTCGATCTTCCCAACCCTCTGCTAGCAGGTATTCTATTCCTGTTTGGCGTTATATACTACTTATGTCAACATAAGTAGCATACACCACAATTTAATCGACAAAATACATATTTCAATGAATTTCAATCACTAATCAGTGTTCATCAACTTTTTACCGATAACAATGATTTACATATGTAGGCATGATATTTTCATAGAAAATTAGTCACTAATTAAATTTCATGTATTACTTACTTACGCCTGTTACCCCTTGTGGAGGAGCATAGGCCGCCCACCAGCATTCTCCATTCAACTCTCTCCTAGGCAATCCTTTCCCCCAAATGCCCTGGTACGGCCAAGAGTGAGGAGAGTCAGCTCTCCCTCTCGAAATGATCTCACATGGCCACACGAATATATAGCCTCTGACAGGGAAGTCCTACTCACCGCCTTCTCGTGTCACAGGTATTGTTCACGAAAGTGAGAGGATGAAAAGTGAATGTCCGGCGCTTTAACGAGGTTGGTGGACAAGGCGAGTCCACCTAGGGGAGTTGGAAAACCCTGATTCCAAACCAATGGTGCACATGGGTTCCAATATCCTGATGGAACAAATGGCGTATGAACCATTCGTTGGTCACCGGCTACCATGGGGTTGCATCTCCTCACGATGCTACACTGCCTTGTGGATCCGACCTTTAGTTCAAAGGCCCTAAGTGTGGCCCCTTAAGAAAACCACGTGCTTCAGTTTGGGCACCTGAGCAGTATCACAGCCCTCACACACAAATCAAATGAGATTTGTGTGGCGTATATTTATCTGGTGCTTATTTGTACCAATATTTATGTGTTTAAATAAATAAATTATTTCCAGTTGTTATTCATTCTTTTCATATCTGCTTCTATATACCTAAGTTATATATTAACAGATAAATTGTCCACGAATGATTCTAATAGATGTATTCTAGCATTATATAAAGATCTGTGAAACAATACCTATCCAAACTTGTTGATTACTGATTCATGAATTAGCAAATATTTTAAATTAGGACTATAATTCACTATTCAGTTAATGAGAACCAATCAGAGACATGTATTTTCCAAAAATCATTTCATAATAAATCCATTAGATTAAGATTTTCGACACCACAAAATTACTTACTATCGCCTGTCATAAGCTACATTCACAACATTATTTATTTGTAAGTGTTTAAAGTAACTCGCTAATACAAACACATCCATTTGAAGAGTCCTAAATAAAATGAAACTGTTTTATCTAGAGCTTTAATTCATACCATGCCGCGTACTACTAGACTACTTTAACGATCGAACCCGTAACGTCGCAAGAGAGAAGACAGAAGACGTATAAGTAAGAATTTTATCCCCCAAAACAGTGTCGAAATATAGTACAGAAATCTCATGTATTTATAGTTTTTTTGGCTGAAAGTAAATCATCATTTCGGACAGCCAACAGGCACATAGGGGGTCATTCTTATTCATCCAATAGGGAAGGTACACGTCGACATTTTAGAATATTCCCCTAGCATTGATTGGATGAAATGTCTTCTGCTCTTTCTGGGCTTCTTGAGGCTTCCTAGAGTTTACCAACGAGCCATCCTTACAGAAACTCAATTTCTGGACTCCACTGCCCATCCACGATCCCGTACATGAGACTCGAATTAAGGACCCTCGGTTATACGGGGATGCTTAACCTCGAGACCACTGATCTGGGATCTAACAGTGTTAATGTCTACCTTCAACCAATCCACGGTATTGTACCACCATATTATATATGTATATGTATTTTCAATGATTTGTTGAATAATAAAATTAAGATGATTTTCATGTATAGAACAATCATTGAAAATAGTTTTTTATTTCATAAATATTTAGTTTAAACAAGTGGATGAATATATGGCATATAGAAAACTTCCACGTGGTCTACGTAAACGTATTGCTAGTTATTATGAACATCGATATCAAGGAAAAATGTTTAACGAGAATGAAATTCTTAATGAACTTTCAGAATGTTTAAAAGAGGTAAATATAATTTCATTTTACTTAATTAATTTAATATTTTCATAGTTGAAATCATCAGTCAGTTGAAGCTAGACCACCATAGAAAACCTGGAAGAACTGAACGGCCGTCCTAGTCCTATTGTGTGACTTCTCAGCAGTGCGCATCCACGATCCCAAACTCGCGAGATTCGAACCCAGGACCTACTAGTCTCGTGCCAGTGCACTTAACCTCTAGACCACTGTGGCGGCTGGCATCCAACGGTGTCAATATCTCACTTCAAACAATTTACGATTTTGAGAAACCGTTCACAAATTTTCTTCAGTGAGTTGATATCTCTTCAACAGACTTGGTTGAACTCCACTGGTCACTGATTCCCACTAGCACTCAAGGAAATATCTCTTGAAGTCAGTCACTAGTGAGCATATGATTATAGATCAGAAATTTCGGGATCGTGGATGCGCACTGCTGAGAAGTCCCATAATAGGACGAAATGGCCTTGCAGTGCTTCCAGGTTTTCCTTGGTGGTCTAGCTTCAACTGACTGATGATTTCAACAATGAAAATACTAAACTCTCCACAAAAACCCCTTCTGATCTTTAATTAATTTAAGTAAAATATAGTGTTTATTTGACTATGATACACTTTATTCATTGTCTGTACAAACTTGTATCGAGGCAGTCCGCATAGGATGCATACATGCTAACAAGAGACTAATCAACTGCAATTCAAAATAACAATTGAAAGATACAAGTAAACAACAACAAGTGAATACCAACTTGTATTTGTTCTGATCTTAAATAATAGGTACAAATGCCTCTGAACGTTTTCAACTCTGACATATCAAAATGGATAGAAAATTTAATAGTCTTTTTGTTCATTTTCTATCAAACTCCACACGGATATTGTAGAATAATATTGATATAAAACACAAGTATTCGAATAAGTTTAATCCAAACATTTGACCCCAAGGCATCCGGATACAACTAGGTGGAAGCAGTAATCATATTCTCGTGGCGCGGGTGTTGTTTACGAAATTGCGAGTATGAGAAGCGAATATCCGGCTCTTTAACCAGGTTGGTAGACAAGGAGGGTCCACTTAGGGGGTTGAAAAACCCGGATTCCAAACCAGTGGTACACATGGGCTCCAGTATCCTGAGGGAACAAATGGTGTATGAATCAATCGTCGGTCACCAGCTACCATGAGAATGCATCTCCTCACGATGCTCCACTGCCTTGTGGATCAGATCTTCAGGTCAAAAGCTCGGGGTGTGGCCACCTAAGAAAACCACCTGCTTCGATTTGGGCACCCGGGCAGTATCACAGCCCTCACACAAAAATCAAATGAGATTTATGTGTCGCATATATATTTGGTGCCCTTTTGTACCAATATTTATGTGTTTAAATAAATAAATGAAAGTAAAATAAAAACGAATTTTTGTTTAAAAGAAAGACAAATTAGTGAGATTCATAAAATTACGTTCGAATGTCACTGGTAAACTATCCTTTACTTAGAACTTATGTGTTTGAGATTTTGTTAGTATACCTATTACTTTCAAAATACCCGGAAACGTTTTAGTGGATTGCTACAGGGAGTCAGGATGATGCCCTGAAGCTGAGTTTTATGTTAAGTGACATTCAGCAACCAGATATGTCTCCTATCTTCATGGAACAAGTGACTGCTTAAAGATTCTAATGTGTATCATCTGTTTCCACAACCAAAAATTCTAATACTTAGCTATTAATGTGATGAATAACACTGTAACTAATGTGAAAAAATATCATATACCGATATGTACGAAAGTTTCAAACACAAAAAAATTCTTCAGTATAGGGTTGTAGAGATTGTCGAATTTCATTGACAACATGGAATTAGATAAACATTAAAAACTGGGAAGCATTAAACAGCTGTTTCGTCCTAGTATAAAGCTTCTCAGTAGCGTGTATCCATGACCCCGAGAACAGTATTCCAACACAGGACCTTCCCTCTCGAGCACAAATACTTAATCTCTAGACTACTGAACCGTCATTCAATAGCGTTAATGTCTAATTTCAATCAATCCACGACCTTGTACAGTTATTTCCTATTTTCTTCAATAAGTTATTGCCTCACACCCGATCAAACACTTTATAAATTGCTCAAAAAAGTATATAAAATGGAATACAAGATAATTGAGTTCAAACTTACCACATATTATCAAAGAATGACTTTATAAAGGGTAAGATAGAGAAAGACATTTTCATATGAAAAGAACAATACTTGTTTCAGTGTTCAAATTTAAAAAAATTAATTTTTCTATATTTTTCCCATAGATTTTCCCTGTTTCCATGTTTACTGAAGATGATAGACTTTGATGTTATTATTGTGATCTTTAGTAGCTCTATGATCATGTCGATTTTTTTCTTTACTTAAGCAAAGTAAAGAAACATTAACATTGTACAAGGCGTTATCTCTCTTGGACCTGGAGTAAATTCCTTTTTTTTTTCAAAAAAAAGAAGCTGTTCGACAGTCATAAGACTAATTAATTATATCCGTTTTATACTATCAAAGTAATACAATGTAAATAGAATCAAGGGTCTGTTGTTATCTGAAATGCTTTTAATGTTAATGTTATATCGATTGCCTGAGTTCCCTGTTAATATATATATGAACGTGCTGATTCCCGCCAATGAGAGAGGAGTGAATTATCTATCAGAACAATGGTACACGAAAGTCGTATGAGCAGTCTTGAGTACTTATCAGTCTTGCTTTCTGCCTAACCTAGCCAGTCAAGTCCAGAATACCAATAACAGCCTCTGCAATATGAATTATTACTCTTAAACATACTGGGTTTATATACCAATCAAACAGAGCACATCTTACCATAAAATAGAAAATAACATTTGTACAAGCTTTGGCCAAACGTGGTTATGAATAGGAGGAATAGTAATCAATAGACTGGGGATAACTCGAGAATGGTAAATCGTATAATAATAGTCTATGAGTTAAAATAAAGCTCATAATAAAAGGAATATGAATATAAATAGTTTAGTTACTTACAATTATACAATAGGAAAGTTACATATACATACATAGTTAAACTGTACTTTTTTCATCGAACTAACATTGTTGGAGGGAATGACATTAATGCCTTGGAGCAAGATTTCAAAACTTGATACCAATTAACAATCACTTGATAAATAAACCTAAAGGAAACACTTTTATACAATAAATGAGTAGTTCACATCATAGGCTGACTTTAACGTTATTTTATCTGGTTAGCTTTTTTTAACGAGTTAGTTTTTTACGGGGCGGGTTCGCTAACCCCATGCCCAACCCTCCACCATTATCCAGGCTTGAGACCGGCAGTAGCCCCCGGAGGAGCTACAGGCGGAGTTATAGACTGACTTAAACTCAGCAATTATTAAAAGCCAGGTAGTAGAAAACCATCTACAATAATCTTACATAATAATCGGAAGTTCTACTCTAATGACCAACTCTAAGAAAAATTAGTGATTTTTTAGTAATAAATTACAACTAGTAGGATTTACTTATGTCGAGAGTGGGACAGCTATCACAGATGTCAATAAATGAGTATCGTATAACATAACTAATTGACTGAGATTATAAAAGTGTTCCATCAGGTGTCCATCAGTTATTTTAAAGGTAAATTATTGACTCGGGTCATCAACTGACGCTACTAATAAGTCCCGTGCCAGTGCTCTTAGAGTGACTATTCATTCTTAATAAACAACAGGAATTAAGATATAAGTTTGGATTGTTAACACCAGAAACATCAGCTTTTTGTGAATAAACTAATTGATCAAACTTCAAGGTGATCTACATTGAATTACTTTATAATTAGTACTGTTAATCTGAAAAACACTATTCTCGTAAACTTTACAAATTAATCTACAAGCTACTGCTTATGTTGATTTAGTTATTCATTGTAATAATCAACAAATATAACTTTAGACTGATATCATAAATAGAACAGTGTTAGACCAACATTGGAAACCTGGAAGCACTGGACAGCCGTTTCGTCCCAGCACTGGACTCCTTAGCAGTATACATACATTATCTTGCACGCAACACTCAAATCCAGGACCATCGATCGCGCACACGAACGTTTAACCTCAAAACCTCTGAGTCGGCATCCAACAGTGTTAATATCTAACTTCGACCAATTCACGATATTGAGTTACCGTTCTTCATTGTTATCAATGATTAACTGCCTCACAACAGATACGGTTTGACTCCACTGGTCACTGCTTCTCATTAGAACTCCACGAAATCCATCTTTAAGCAAGTTACTGGTGAACACATGAGGAGTCCCAAACTAGGAAGGAATGGCCATACAGGGATTCCAGGTTTTCAATGGTGCTTTAACATTGATCCAATCATGATATAAATGTAAACTCAACAATCTCCATAACCTTATACTGATAAATGTAACTTTTTTTGTTTTCTACATTTAAGCAAATTATTAATTACAATTGTCGAGCTTTAGTTGCTGCTGTACCATTTTTTACATTTGCTGATCAAAATTTTGTCTCAGAAGTAGTAGTTAAATTACGTTATGAAGTGTTTCAACCAGGTGATTTGATTATTAAGGAAGGTACAATTGGTACAAAAATGTATTTTATTCAAGAAGGTATAGTGGACATTGTTACAAGAGATGGAGAAGTGGCCACTAGTCTGTCAGATGGTTCATATTTTGGAGGTGAGTGTATTTTTTTATGCAGAGATTAATTTTGTGTAGAATTTTAAACCTCAGTGGTAGAGTTTAATTATAACAGTTGACATCTTGAGTCAATTGAAGCCAGATCACTATGGAAAGCACTGGAAGCACTGAACGGCCGTCCTAGTCCTATTGTGTGACTCCTCAGCAGTTCACATCCACGATCCCGTCTCGCGAGATTCGAACCCAGGACCTACCAGTCTCACGCGTGAGCACTTAACCTCTAAACCACTGAATCGGCTGGCATCCAACGGCGTTAATGTCTAACTTCAACAGATCCACGAAATTGAGCGACACATCCACCAATGTCTTCAGTGAGTTACTATCTCACTACAAATCTGGTTTATTGTTATTAACTAACATTTGTGAGTAACCATTCTTATGTGTACGTCAACTATTCATGTAACTCAATTAATAGAGCTTATTTATATGGTAGAGGTTTATGTATTCGGTTTTAATCTTAATTGTTGACATGAGTGTCAATGATAATAATAAAACAATCAAAACAAAGTAGATAAAACGGGATTTGAGTCTGAGACCTACTGGTAAAGGTCGATCACTTTAACCATTAAACCACCACTCCATAAATCTTCATTAAATTCATCATCAGCTGTCATATGACCAAGTTACTGTTATTTATAGAAATGAATTTTCAGTATTTCGTTGGGATTTTCACTCGATTTTATTATTTCAATATATCAAATATAGATTTGAATGAATTATTGGCTAATCCAGTACCATGAAGTGATAACTCAAAAGGCCTGTAGCATTCATAAATCAATCTAAATCAGTATGGCAGTAAAAACACACAGTTGGATAACTGACGGTTTCAAGAATTGGTTAGATAATACACACAAAAGAAAAATATCGTATTCTTTAATTCGTTACCAAAATTTATTATTATTATTATTAATGGCTTTATTCTATATTATAATCTGGTACAATAAAGAATTCTCAGCACGAGTTATTTCAACAAGTTTTTCCCAAAAAATAAAACCAAAAAAAAAAAAAAAAAAACAACAACAAAAAACAGAAATAAAATATAAAAAAGGTTTAAGAAAATCTGAGTTTATACAAATTATCGAATATGAGACATGTTTAAGAAGACGGGAACAAGGAATAGGTATTGTGGATTGTCATAAGAACTTTCATGAAGTATCATATTTTTTGTTTAAATTTAGTTTGAAATTTACATTGTTGATACATCAAAATGGGTTCTTTTCAAAAAGTTACACTATTTAAACATATGCACTGATGAATCTCTATTATCAGAACGGGAGTTTGTGGAGATTTTAGTACTTTTATATAGTTCAGATCATGGATCAATTGAAGCTAGACCACCATGGGAAACCTGTAAGCACTGGACGGCCGTCCCATCTTATTGTGTGACTCAGCAGTGCGCATCCACGCTCCCACCTCGCGAGAATCGAACCCAGGACCTACCAGTCTCACATCAGAGCACTTAACTTCTGGGCCACTGAACCGATCTGCATCCAACGGTGTTAATGTTTAACTTCAACCAATTCACGAAATTGAGCAATCATTCACCAATTGTCTTCAATGAGTTGATATCTCCCCTTCTGATAATGATCATATGCTCACTAGTGATTGGCTCCATAAGGTATTTCCTGGAGTTCTAGTGAGAAGCAGTAACTAGTGGAATCTCTATTCTTTAATAAGTTCTGGTATTGCATATTGATTAGTATTTTTTTAGTATCTTGGATATAATTTTAATTCATATGATTGCTTAATTCAATTCACATTGGGAAGGTGAACCGAATTGGAATACAAGTAGGTTCAGTCGATAAGTTCAAAAGGGTAACAAGGAATAGGTATTGTGGATTGTCATAAGAACTTTCATGAAGTATCATATTTTTTGTTTAAATTTAGTTTGAAATTTACATTGTTGATACATCAAAATGGGTTCTTTTCAAAAAGTTACACTATTTTTTCTTCTTATTATAGAAATATGTCTATTGACAAATGCACGTCGTGTAGCAAGTGTTCGAGCTGAGACCTATTGTAATGTTTATTCATTAGATAGAGCAAGTTTTTTGGAAGTATTAGATAATTATCCATTAATGCGTAGAACTATGGAATCTGTTGCAGCTGAACGTTTAAATAAAATTGGACGTGATCCTTTAGTTGTTAGTAATCGTAAAGATTTATATGATGATTTAAAATTAGTAAATGAAATAGTAAATCAGGTAAGCTTTTTTTTAAAAATTAAATAACTGAGTACATTTTATTCTTAATGTTAAAAACATATTGGTGTGTTACTTACTTATTTACTTACGCCTGTTACCTTTCGTGGAGGATTATAGGCTGCACACCAACATTCTCCATCCAACCCTGTCATGGGCAATCTTTTCCAGTTTGTTCCAGTTAACATTTATTCCTTTCATATGTGCTTCTATCTCCCGACGTAATGTGTTCTTTGGTCTTCCTTTTTTCCGCTTCCCTTCACCATTCCAGGTAAGGGCTTGCTTCGTGATGCAGTTTGGTGATTTCCTTAATGTATGTCCTATCCACTTCCAAAGTCTTTTTCTAATTTCCTCTTCAACTGGAAGCTCGTTTATCCTCCCCCATAAAACGCTGTTGCTGATAGTATCCGACCAGTGAATGTTGAGTATTTTGCGTAGACAACTATTTATAAATACTTGTACGTTCTTGACGATTGATGTAGTTGTTCTCCACGCTTCGGCTCCGTACAGTAGGACTGACTTTCTTGACGTTCGTATTGAAGATTCTCACTTTGAAATTAGTTGACAGTTGTTTCGAGTTTGTCTTTCCTTCTTCGACCTTAACTGGACTCTCTGGTTTACTATATTTACCTTCCAGTTCCTTCGTTGTATCATATAGTTGTTTTATATTCCCTTCTCTTGCAGCTGTTTCCCGCCGTCGTTGCTAGTTCTCCCGTGTATTTCTGCTTAACAGCTTTAAATATTAGTATGTACAATTGATATACCACCGAGTAGTGATTAATATTATGTTCATCTAGTCTAATATGGCTTAACACCTCGTGCACTATGTTCAATTGTTAGGTGGATGAAACTTAAGAGTTTAATGATAAATAAGTTGTTTAATTTAAAGAAAGTAACATTATGACTTCAATTTTGTGTTGAAATTACTCATCCAATTCTATCAATCAGCATCAAAGAACTAGAATAATGCAACATAGTGGTCAGTCAGTTGTATCAAACCACTTTACACGATCATATGTATATGAAATTACTATTGTACTCTGATTCACGATATTTTCTAGCATCCGCAATGTGGGACTAGGAGAACTATTTGTGACTGTTTATTTAAGATGCACATAATTTTTTTATCAGGACTCAATAGCTGAGTGGATAACGCGACGGCGTTCGAAGCAAAAGGTAATGGGTTCGAGTCCCAGATTGAACATCAACTCTGGGATGAAGGTACATCCATCTGACGAGTCCCAAATAGGACGAAACGCACGTAAACTGGATACCACTGCTAGCCACTATCCATCTTTGCCCCCAAATGCCCTGATACGGCCGAGAGTGTGGAGAGTCCGCTCTAACATGGCCACGCGTATATAGCCTCTGACAGGGAAGTCCTACTCATTGCATTCTCGTAGCTAGGATGTTTACGAAATTGAGAGGACGAAAAGCGAATGACCGGTGCTTTAACTAGGTTGGTGGACACGGAAAGTTCACCCACGGAAGTTGGAAAACCCTGATTTCAAACCAGTGGTATACATGGGCTCCAGTATCCTGAGGGAACAGATGGCGTATGAATCAATTGTTGATCACCGGGTACCATGAGAATGCATCTCTTCACAATGCTCCACTGCCTTGTGGATCAGATCTTTAGATCAAAGGCTTCAGGTGTGGCCTCCTAAGAAAACCACCTGCTTCGGTTTGAGCACTTGGGCAGTATCACAGCCCTCACACAAATCAAATGAGACTTGTGTGGCACATAAATATCCGGTGCCCTTTTGTAACAATATTTATGTGTTTGAATAAAATAAAATAAATAAAATTTTGATCATACTCATTACAGTGGGAAGAATTTTCGAAAATTAAGACGAATCATATAACCTTTTTATCGTAATCTGAAATATCTGATCAGATCATACTTACTTACTTACTTACGCCTGTTACCCCTCGTGGAGGAGCATAGGCCGCCCACCAGCATTATCTACCCAACTCTGTCCTGGGCAATCTTTTCCAGTTATTATTCATCTTTTTCATATCTGTTTATTCCTTCAACTCCCAAGACAGAGTTTAAATGGTTTGAATTATTCTTTCTGGTTAGAGTTTTTTTAGAGAGTTAGTTTTTCTGCAGGATGGGGTCGCTAACCCCATGCCCAACCCTATTTTGGCGAGGCTATAATTTATGGACGAGCTAATCAGAAGCGTTTGAGGGATTTCAAGGTCACAAAGCCTATTTCAGTACCTGATGCTCATGTACAATCGGTTCACAGAGAATTTTAGAGAAGACTTGACAATTAAGCGGCTACAACACATGAAACTACTAAGAAGTTCCTGTATTTGTAATTACGAGTATTAAATGACTTTGAGATCTTGTGCACACTACCGTGATGTTGTACTTCGATGCAATATATGTTGAAGGAAGACGTTTGCTAGAATAGGAACCTTTATCGCTCGATCCAGATTGAGACTAAGGCATATTATAATAATTACTATGAACTGTATAATAAAAGCACCAGTAACATTGACTGCAATAATCTCAGATGTTACTGAAGCTTCGGCTGTTCAGTGGTATGAGTATTGTAGGGACATATCCACAATAAACATGATAAACTTACACCTCCGGAGTACACGCAAACAATAATGAAGCTATGTGGTCGAGGCTGAGAGGGTTTTTATGACCTTATCATGGCTCCAGAGACCAACTATTATGGAGCCATATGGATGAATTCTTCTACCTTATGCATTACGACTTTGGAATCTTTGAACCTTTTTCTAACCTTGACAAATTTTGGAACATTGTAAAATAAGTATATCCACTTTAGTTATTTGGTTTTGTATAATATATTTTTGCTCTATACTGACTGTTTATTGATTGGCTAATATTTCTGAAGGCCACTTAAAATTTGTTCAAAGGTCGTCCATAAATTATAGTCTCGCCAATATTTCTTATGTTTCCAAATATAATCACTTGATGAACACTAGTAACTACGAAATCTTTATTGTGACTATCTTACAGATTGACAAGTTATTACATAATCAGAAAAATGTATATTTCTTTTTAGATGATTCCTACCTTTGATAGTTGAAATCATGAGTCGATTGAAGCTAGACCACTATCAAAAACCTGGAAGCACTGGATGGCCGTTTCGCCCTATTATGGGACTCCTCAGAAGTGCACATCCACGATCTCGCACCCGCGAGATTCGAACCCAGGACCTACCAGTCTCGAGCTGGAGCTCTTAACCGATGGACCACTGAGGAGTCCCATAATAGGATGAAACGGCCGTCCAGTGCTTTTATGTTTTTGATGGTGGTCTAGCTTCAGTCGACTAATGATTTCAACTATGAAAATACTAAATTCTCCACAAAACCCACTCTGATTCCTACTTTATAATGATTTTAATTCAATCTTTTCCTAACTTTACTTATTATATAAAATGTAAACTTTTAGGCTATTCGTGAAGCAGATGATATACAAATCGAAGGAGAAACAGAAGATAGCTGTGATGAAGATGGTGTTGATGGTTATAAAACTAACGATAATACTAATACTACTAATGATCGGGGTGATGTCAATCATAAACGTCACCAAAATGAAAGAAATTATCAACCATGTAAAAAAAATAATAAATTCTCTCATCCAGTAAATTATTTTAAACAACGTAAATTATCCCATTGGAATCCATTAATTTTACGTAAAAGTTCTGAACCAGAATGGTTACATCATTCAACTAATGATAGATCTAGTACTACATCAACATTATTCAATACAGGCATTCGTAAATGGTATCATATTAAACATGGTAAATCAAATATATCCAAGGTGATTAATAAAACTAAAAGTGTAGATAATTTAACAATGTTTAAACTATCACCAAATCTTTCAAATAATTGGCATATAACTAAATCAACACCGGTGAATGTAACTGTTTCGGTAATTAATGAACATGATGGTGATGATGATGATGATGATGGTGATGATGATGATGATGATATAACACCGAAAGAATCAATTACATCTAATACATCAATAAAAATCAATAAACAAAATGATGAAAATAATCTTTCAATCAATAATAATCAATAAAAGGATTATTATTATTATTATTACTATGATTACGTAATATCTACAACCAATAGATACATTTACATAAATATTTTAGATCTTCATTTAAGTATCATTTGTGAATAACAAATGTAGAATTAGTAAATGATCATTGAACTAAACAATGTATTACTTTAAATACACTAATATATATTATTGTTCATATATAGATATTTCAATGTTCAGTGGTTGTGAAACAGTCTAATTTGTTTATCACCATATGTATGTATACCTGTTGATTAAACAATCTATCTCAATTAGATTAAAATTCTTATTTGTTATCATTGTCAATAGTTTGTTTTCGTTAGGTTTTTCAGAGGGGAGGGATTTCACCTTACAACTGTATCAGAAGGGGTTTGATGAAGATTTTAGTAATTTTATAGAGTTGAGATCATGAGTCAATTGAAGCTAGACCACCATTGAAAACCTGGAAGCACTGAAGTTCTAGTGAGAAGTAGTAACCAGTGGAGTTCAATAAGGTTTGTTGGGAGATATCAACTCACTGATGATATTAGTGAACGATTGCTCAATTTCGTGTATTGGTTGAAGTTAGACATTAACATCGTTGGATACAGGCTCAGTGGTCTATCGGTTAAATACTCTGTCACGAGATTGGTAGGTCCTGGGTTGGAATCTCGCGAGTGCAAGATCGTGGATGCGCACTTCTGAGGAGTCCCATAATAAGACGAAACGACCATCCAGTGATTCCAGGTTTTTGATGGTGGTCTAGCTTCAGTTGAATCATGATCTCAACTCTATAAAATTACAACTGTATGTTGATAACATTGGTGAATTAATGACGCTTGGTTAGAAAGGATGTACTTTTTTTCCAATCACAACTAGTCACACAACTATCAATCATCAAATATCCTTTAAAATAACTCAATTCATTCTGTAATTTCATTGAATGATCAATTAATTAAGGTAATTTCAAGTAGATGATTGATTGAACATCGAATATATACAACATGAGTATTATGTTCAGACTGGATTAAGGTATTCAGTGTTGTTTGTTGTTTAGTATAACTGTATTAAACGAGAACATTGGTGGAGACAATCGATTGTATCTTGGTAAAATATACACTAAATACTTCATTTTCAAATTTCCATCATTTGTCATTCACATTCTGTATAATTCTTCAAGTTTACAATTCCTTTCTATTTTCCCTTCTATTCTACCTCCAACCACTATCTTATCTCAACATAGTGAACGAAATGTCCAGTCACCTAGACCAGTAGCCACATTGCAACTTGGTCGATAGGATTCGATTTGCACTAAGAAGGAGCTGACATACAAGACATTGATCCCCACCCAGTGATCAATCAATTGTAATACATTTCAGTCGTACAGGAAACTGGTCGCGACCCGGATAGATTAAGGATAACGTCTCTAACTGTGAAGCTGATTCGTACGGAATCGAATCCATAAGGGAGCATCAGTCCACTCGAGATTACAGGTAGACCTTGCTGACGAGTGCCAATTAGCATAAAACCTCGGTCCAGGTTTCCCTGTTGACTACTTCTAACCATCTTATTCCTTCTATTCGCTTCAACTTGATCTTCTTAGCCTTCTGCTGTCAGCTTTTTCATTTCCGATTGGTGCTATGTACTACTTATGTCTGTCATCACTACATAACAACTTTCAAGCATCTTTATTAAAATCACTAAACAAAACCAATTTAACTCAGTGATTAGTTTTTTTAATGTTTAAATTAGGTCTATAAGAAACTTGAAGAGAATTTGAATATGAATTTCATATTGAAATAACATGAGTTAATGATCAGGTAGTGAACAGTTGGAAGCTTATATTGTTGATTGGTTTGTAAAAATTTTTTACCGTTGAAATGGATGAACAATTTGCATTTATCGTTTGGATATGTGTGAATTCTCTGAAAAGGTTTTGCGTAAACTTATACTTCATGTTCATTTTGTATTGTTTGTTTGAATCTTTTCATTGAAGGATAGGACTGCAATTGATCAGTCTCTTCTTGGCATATGTGTATCATGTGTGGATTGTCTCGATATTGCCTTAATTCATAAACATCCTAAGTGAAGGTAGATAGTGGCTAGCAACGGAATCCAGAGTGTAAATTACGTCCTGTACTGGACTCGACAGTTGTATGAAGCGAACGGTACTGGGTTCGATTTCCAGAGTGAATATCAACTTCAGGATGCAGGTATATCCAACTGACGAGTTCCAAATAAGAAGAAATGCGCATCCTGGATGGAGAATGCTGGTGTTCGGCTTATGCTCCTCCACGAGAAGTAACAGGTGTAAGTAAGTATGCGTCCTGGATTCCGCTGTAGTCACCATCTATCGACAACTGCATCTCTGTGCTAATGTAGTATGGCAACTCGTACATACGTACGAAGTTCTACGTTGTGACTGACTGACTGACTGACTTTACACTTCACAGTTTATAGTTATAGTATTTAGTTAAGATATTTAGGTTAGTTACCAAGTTAATCTATGAAAACGATTTATCTTATCTATAGTTAATTGCCTATCTTTTCACTTATTTAAAGAGTTATATAACCATATGTGTCTTTTGAATATTAAATTACTAGAAGGGGTTTTGTGGAGATTTTAGTAATTTTTATAGAGTTGAGATCATGAGTCAATTGAAGCTAGACCACCATCGAAAACCTGGAAGCACTTGACGGCAGTTTCGTCCTATTATGGGACTCCTCAGCAGTGCACATCCACGAACCCACTCTCGCGGGATTCGAACCCAGGACCTACCAGTTTCGAGCCGTAGCCCTTAACCGATAGACCACTGAGTTGGCATCCAACGGTGTTAATGTCTAACTTCAACTGATTCACGAAATTGAGCAACCATTCACCAATGTCATCAGTGAGTTCCTATCTCACAACAGATCTGGTTGAACTCCACCGGTTACTGCTTCTCACTAGAACTCCAGGAAATACCTCAAGGAGTCAGTAACTAGTGAGCACCTGATTATTATCAGAAGGGGTTTTGTGGAGATTTTAGTAATTTTTATAGAGTTGAGATCATTAAATTACGTTGAATCTAGTTATTGGAAATCTAATTAAGTGAAAGTTATCTCAAAGAATCTGAGTTCTTATTTACAATTCTCTAGTAAGTAATGTTTAACAATAAAAAAAAAAAATGTTTTTCTTTTCAAATGTTTTCAACACTTTCATCTTAAAATATCAAAAATATTCTTACAGTTTCTTGTGACATTACAGGTATAATTTCTTTAATAATCATACACTCAAGTAATGGGTTCCAACCTCCTCAATGTGGAATACTTATTTCGTAAATATATATCTAAATAACAATGACTGACCACTGAATAGTAATCCCTTACCATAATTGCCTAGTCCTCATTTTCGATCAGATCCACTAGTCTATATGATTAGGCATTATATATAGTATATGTTTGAGTTTTATATATATGAAGGAAACGTATATTGCATTGTAGTTGGCATTACTTGAAAAAAAAAACATATCAATGAACTTGAGATGACTGATCCATTGGTAAAATACATTCATATATTTGTTCATTCATCACTATTCATTTGTCTCATAGTAGTTATTTTACTAGTGAATAATTTGAACATTTGAACAAAATTATAAATACACTTGGTATTAAATTCACATAGTATTGCTTGTTTGGATCTTTCTATTGATGTTTTTAGGACTGCAACTGGTCAGTCTCTACTTGGCATACGTGCATACTGTGCGTATTGCCTCGATATAGCTTAAATTCACAAGCATGGTAAGCAAAGATGGATAGTGGCTAGAAGTGGAATCCAGGATACGCGTTTCGTCCTATTTGGGACTAGTCAGCTGGATGTATATGCATCTGAGTTGATGTGTCACTCTGGGACTCGGACCCATTACCGTTCACTTCAAACGTCATCGCGTTATACACTAGGCTACTGAGTCCTGATAGCCACTTGCATGTGCGATGGGGTGAAGTTAAAATTTACTTAGTATTGTTTGTTTGAATCTTTCCATCGATTTGTTAGGACTGCAACTGGTCAGTCTCTAATGGGAAGATTCAAACAAACAATACTAAATAAATGAATTTCTTTTTTCTAGTGAATTCAGTAAATCATTTGATTTGAATCCTCAAAATATGTGGAGTTAATTTTTTACCATAATACTTCTAATCCATCAGATACCAATGGTAAACACATTCTTTGTAATATGATCTAATTCTTCAGTGCATCTATTTCTGGGAAAAAGAAAAATGATATCGCATGAAGTAAACATCTAGATAGTTTTATAAAGGTAATTCAAATAAGAAAACTGTGATTGATTGAATAAATTGTAGTGTGGTCTACTTATATCTATATAAGTAGTATATGGTGTGGGTCAGACTTAGAATGTATTTTGGCAGAACACCGATGAGCAAAGAACTGAAATGAAGCGCAATCTTTTGGAAAATGCATGAGCAATTGAATAAGAGAAGAAACAGTGAAGATTGAAACAATTGGTTGTTAATTTTCAAATTGACTGTTCATTGTTTGGTAATCAGAAGTTACTGAGATAGTCTGTAATCTTTGCTTAAATACATTCGATTGTCCCCAGTAGTGTTCCGTTCACTTCAAAATCATTTAAACTTTTTTTGACTAACATATTGTGGATGAGATTTCTTTAAATGCTAAGGATAAAGTATAGGGAGTAGGTGTATAAGTTAGTCAATAGTTTTTCTAAATAGAAAACTGTACTCCTAATATCATTGTTTATTCTCCTTAAAAGTAAAACACCAAGAACCTGTAACAAGAGTTAATCGAACTGTATTAAACACTTCATGGAAAACACAAAACTTAGTAAATTCATCATGCAAGATAAACGTATCGATCATAGTTCGTTGTATTATGCAATAAACTGTTCTCTATCTGCTACAAAAACGTATGACTTTGAGTCAAATGAATATATACTTGTAGTAAACTAAAAAGTGGAATAAACATTATTACTTACTTACTTACTTACACCTGTTACTCCCAATGGAGGATAGGCCGCCAACCAACATTCTCCAACCCACTCACTCTTTCATGGGCCTTCCTTTCTAGTTCTATTCAATTTTTGTTCATTCTTCTCATGTGTGTCTCCAATTCTCGAAGTAATGTGTTCTTTGGTATTCTTCTCCTCCTTTGATACTCAGGATTCCATGTGAAGGCTTGTCTTGTGAAGCAGTTTGGTGATTTCCTCAATGTATATTTTGTCCATTATCTTAGGAATAAACACCATATACATGATAAACTGAAAAGCTTTGGATTACTAATG